TTGAACCTATTGCACAGAGTGCACCAGGGCATTGGTCACCGCAGGAGAATTGCTGCAGTCATTTTTACGGTAAATAATTTATTCCTTCACTTACAAATCAAGTAGAGACATTTTATTACTACCATAAGATCAGTGGTGGGAAAAAAAGGAAAAATACTTAAAATTAAAGGAAAAGGTTGCCGTGTCACTTTTATCACTTACTGTCATCTAAACAAGATCTGTGGAAAAATAAACCATTTCTTTAAACTTCTTCCGGTGATAAACGTTTTTCCCACTATTACCTCGTTTTTATTTAGGAGAGTACTAGTTCGCGGGATATATACATTTTTACTTCTTACTCAGCCAATCAGCAGAAGTGTTGATGTCACGTGATACTCATGTGCTTAATGGTTTCTCTGGTCAGGTTAGGTTAGGTATGTACTGTATGTACACCGATATTTGATAGTACAGTAGTTTGGTTTGATTTTGTCAGTTTTTTACGAGTTTTTACCCTTCAATATCCTTCTACTTTAAAGCCCTACCCACTTTCAGTGATCAAAATTACATTTCTTTTTGTCAAATTGAAAAAAAAAATAAAAAAAAAAAATATACATTTTGACAAAAACTCTATAGCGTAAAAAAAAATCTCTCCTCTGTCTCCTTATACTGTATAGTGTACTGTGCAAATAAATACTGTATAGATATCTGTGCATGGTTACTACGGAATATTTAGCTAGGTACAGTATTTATTCAATAAAGCCTTTACTGCAGTGGTCCCCATCCTGTAGTTAGCAGGCGCCTAGAACCACATTATGAAGCCCACAAGGGTTCATTAGAATATTTTGAATTATTTGGGATTGTTTGTAAGAGTGAAATTAATGAAAATATGTAATAACTTGATGCAATTTTATAGTTTGAGAGAGAGAGAGGGGAACTGTGCGTTTGTCCTGAGTCTATTGGTCGTGTACAGGACGTGTGTATATTTACCCCAGACTGGGTTCAGAGAGAGAGCCAACTTTCTCACTGGGGTAAATACACATTCTCTCTAAGAGTAAATATACAGTGTATCTAACTGGTAACAGTTAGACGTGTAAAACTGAAAGTAACTGTACAGTATATATATGATTTATTTTTTTCTTAAATGTTGACTCAAAGTTTTGGCGCCCTCCACTATATTTGTAATGATAAATGTGGCCCAGAGCCTACAAAAGGTTGGGTACCACTGCTTTACTGTATACAAGTTCACACTCCGGTAATACTTTAGACAACCATCTTGTGAGATGGAGCAACTTAGAGGAATATTTTTGGCCATTATTCTGCAAGCACCAGCTTGCAAACCTAAATGTATGCTGGTGCTGGGTTTTGACTCTAAAGTGTTTGCCAGTGTTTGCAGAAGAATTACTTAGTAGGTAATTACAGTACAATGCCCAGATTATGTTAGGTTAGGTTCATCTAGTTATGTTTTAGTTCCACATTTTCCCTCTGCTTCAAAGCCCTGCCCACTTGTGGTGGGGGTCAAGATTGACAGGGTAGGAAGGATCATGATTCAATAATTATGCATTTCACCAAACTGTCATTATCACTACTGTATTCAGATGGAAAAATGGCATTTTTATCCCTCCCACCTCTCTCTCTCACTTTTAAGCTTGCCAGCCATTTTAAAGTGAATTACAGATGAAAATTTTGTCTGTGTACTATTTTTGGGACTTAAAAATACATAATTTGACCACATTTTGGTACGACTGAGGCAGGTCGTAAGTGCGGGTAGATGTAAGTCGAGTTGGTCGTAAGTCGGGAGTTGTATTATATATATATATATATATATATATATATATATATATATAGAGTATATATATATATATATATATATATATATATATATATATATATATATATATATATATATATATATATATATATATATATACACACACACACACACAGTCAATCTCACATGTCCAAGATTCCGCTGCTTTCACCGCTAACGCGTGCCTGCCAGAACTCAACATGCTCACATCTCCGGCGAAGGTCGTGAACGCCATTACGCGGAGAGTGTCCGGCCCGACGCTATTTTAGATTTGCCCCACGCGCCACCCACCCGCCCGCCTGCCTGCCTCTCCCTCCTCCTCCCTCCGCTTGGGCAAGCGGCGCGGTAAGGTTGCGCAGTGTGTGTCTTTGTTGCGTTATCACTGACGTCATATGACGTATCAGACCTGTGATTGGCCATGCATCCCTACCCTCCTCTGCTGCTAGCTGTAATTGGCTTAAAGTATTATGACGTGTCCACCCGGGGCAGGGAGGGAGGGAGGAGAGACGACGCTTGACCTAGCCGCGACAGTTTCATCCCTCAAGGCCACTCCGTGTTATCGCGCATCCATTGTTCCGTAAAATGGCTTCCGCCGGACCACCACCCCCAGAGAAAAACCTTTCCTTACCTGGACCCAGCGGCACTAAACCAAAGAAGACACGACGTTCCTTAAGCTACGAGGTGAAGTATAGCATCATCCAAGAGTTGGAGAAAGGAACAAGGCAGGTTGATTTGGCGCGCTAGCATGGCGTGAACGAATCTACGATCCGGACTATAAAGAAGGATTCAGCCAAGATAAAGGAGCACATGAAGATCACAAAGTCTACAGGTGCTTCTATGATCAAGTATTTTCACAACCAGGTGCTTCTCAAGACAGAAAAATTACTTGTGAGGTACTTGGTGCGTCAGGCGCGACGGAACATGGCGGTCGACACGCGCTCTGTGAAGGACTACGCACGTGAACTGTACATGGCAGTGGCACGAAAGATGGGAACTTCAGAGCCCAAACCCTTTACTGCTTCCTCTGGGTGGTTACAGAGGTTTAAGATCCGGGACAAGATCACCAATATAAACATTGGTGGTGAAGAAGCGAGTGCTGATCGTGCTGCGGCTCGGGAATTTCCTCCGTTTTTACGTGAGATTATGGAGGAAGGACAGTACAGTGACGACCAGGTGTTTAACATGGACGAATCTGGTCTTTTCTGGAAAAACTACCTTCCAAGTCCTTCGTTGTGAAGAATGCCAGCAGGATTCGGGGCCGGAAAATGCAGAAGGAACGCATCACCGTCCTGTTTACCACCAATGCCTCCGGTACCTGTAAGCTCAAGTTATCGGTGATCCACACAGCCCGCAAGCTGCACGCCTACAAGAGCATGGACATGACCAAGCTAAATGTCCACTGGCTGACAGCACGTAAGGCATGGATGTTCTCTACACTGTCCCTCTCCTGGTTTGATGACTGTTTTGTTCCCGATGTAAAGAAATTCTGTGAGCGACAGAATGTCCTATTTAATATTTTGTTGCTGCTGGACAACGCACCAGGACACTCGCCCCTACTGTTAGATCGTCACCCCAACGTAAAAGTGGTCTTCCTTCCTCCCAACACTACGTCTTTAATCCAGCCCATGGACCAGGAGCTGATTTGCAATGTGAAAGCTGCATTCTCAACAAAAAAATTCCAGCTCCTGAACGACTACACCAACACCAGGGAAGAGTTGCGTGACCTGAGTGACACCACCACCGATAGCAAGAGCGACGAAGATGAGGAACAACGGTTAGAACAGCAAAAAATACTCTTCAAACAATTCTGGAGAGTATTTAACATCAAGAAAGCTGTGGACATCTTGGTGGAGTCATGGGATCAGCTGTCTATTGCTACAATTCGTCACACATGGAGACATGTGTTGCATGGAATACCAGGTGAGAGGAGGAGTCAATCTGTGACTGGTGAGGTTCAGAATGTTGCAGTAGCAGTGGACCTTGCCAGAGAAGCTGCGCAGACTGTTACAGTTACAGGCTTCTCCGAGACCAACGACGACATCCTGGAGGTGATCAGAGATCCTGAAGTGACTGCCGACGAGATGTTGGAAGAAGAACACGTCAGTGAAGAGGAGGAAGAAGGTGCATCAGTCTCCGAAGAACACAATTTAAGTCATAGTGATATTAAGGGTGCCATGGAGTGTGCAGAGAAGATGAAGTCCTTCCTTTCCCGCGACAATGACGATGACCGCTATGAAGTCTTCCATAACCGGCTGGTGCAGACTATGGAGCCGTACATCAAGGTGTATCACGACAACATCAACGCCAGCCGTCAGCAAAGCATAACAGATTTCTTCACCCGCAACCCACCACAGCCAGCCCAAGCCAGTGATAGTGACAGTGAAGTTGACTTTGAGGGATTTGTCAGGGAAGCCCTGACAACTGTAAGTGACAGTGATGATGATTCACCTAGTAATGGTGATTCACCTAGTAATGGTGATTCACCTGAGGGCCAGTAATCTGCCCTCTGCCTCGGAACCAGCCTCCATCACCGTATGCCGACCCATCTCTTCTACTACCGTAAGTGTTCCACATAATTTTTAGTTTTCTAACCTTACCTTTATTTTTCCTATGTTAACCTTTATCTTTCCTAACCTAACCTCTTCTATATTACTTGTTTTTTCATACCATCATAAAGTTAAGATAAAATTTTTACTGCAACATAGTTATGTGTCGTCAAAAAGTGGAGTTTGGGGATCGGCCTGGACTCCATTTCAATTAATCCCATATGTTATGTTGTTCACTTTACGCGTTCCTCACTTTCCGCGGTACCCTCTGGGTTACATTAACCGCGTAATGTGAGACCCAACTGTATATATATATATAAGTATATATTTTTTTTTTTTCAGGGGGTGGGGGGAATATTCTTGGGGTTCTCAATGCCTGGGTTGTGTTAACAATGAGCCATCCAGCTGATTTGGAAATGTGTGGTAGCCCTGCCCAGTTCGTGGAGATTCTGACCCATTGTATTGCCCGAAGCACGTTCTTGAATGACCTCGCTCTACAGAAGTGTATGGTCACCATTGGGCATGACGATTGAGAAAACGGTCCTAAGACACATCCATGGGAAGTCTAGGCTGAGCTAAACTTAACATTTACAGAAATCACCATGAACTCTTCAGTAATGGAATTTTAATTCTGCGTAATTAACTGTTGTTTTAATCTATATTTTCAGCCATCAGTATGTGTGGGAAATGTAGGTCAGCTTGCTGTGGATCTCCTCATCACCAACCTACCCACAAAGAAGGTACATTACTGTACTGTATTTTACTTTACTATATCACCACTTGTGTTCATGAGGAATATTCTTATACAGTATTGTTTTGTATATATAGTAATGTCCTGCTTGACAAGTGACTTGTTGAAAAAGTATTTGTTGGATGAATTCTCATTGACCCCTATGTTGTTTCCATATAATAAACCTAGATACTTTCCTCTGGTTACCAAAATGTTAATTTCTGTTTTTTGCTGAAAAGGCTAGATAATCATGTCTAAAATCATGTGAACTGGCAACTCAAGTCTCATGTTGGCTGAATTTTAGGAATTGTTGTGTAGTGTCTCCGTTTCCATGGGAACCAGCCCCGGCATTTTAAATCCAAGCTACTACAATCTCTGCATGACCTGGGAGACATAATAACTGTACTCTGAATTTATTTTATACCTCTTTACAGTATTTTGTTATTTCCACCCTTTTTTATACTAGACTTGTGATTATATAATACTGGTATGTAGGTGAATAGAAAAATGGAACTCAAACATAATTTTTGTATTTACTTACATGTGGCGTATCTAAATGGAATGCAACTTCAAGAGCAGCCTCTGCTGTACAGCAAATATGCTGCAGTGAGTTTCAGACATCACTTACATAAAACAACTTAAATTTACATAATTCTATACTAATTTTAAAACTTTTTACTGTAGAAAGTTTTTGTAACACTTCACGTTTGACAAGATGGGTATCGACATTCTTACTGACTACTATGAGATCATCTAAGTAAACACAGACTGGTACCTATCAATCCAGCAAACAATGTGTTGATCATCCTTTGAAAAGTCAGTGGGGCTTTTCTGGGACCAAAAGGCATCCGTAGAAATTCAAAATGGCCCATAGGAGTACTAAAAGCAGTAACCTCTCGCGATTTTTCATCGAGCGGTATTTGCCAATACACCACTAAGCAAATCTAAATTGCTAAAAACAGCATTGTCCTTGCCTAAGGACTGTAAAATATCACTCAAGACAGGCATGGGGTACCTATCTGGGACAGTATTTTCATTGTCGCACCTAAAATCAATAACTGGGCCCCAACCGCCATCCTTCTTTGGAACTAAAAACTTTAAAGGACTATTGAAAGGAGATTTAGAATGTGTCATAACCTTCTCATTCAACATAACCTGAACCATGTCCTGAACTACAGTGCGCTGGCTATGGGGTAGTTGGTAAACTGGTATGTAAATTGGATTCGTGCCCTCTTTTAAGGATATGTGATGTGAGGTTAGATCTGTGTGCCCCAACTGTTCCCCTGGTAAAGCTACAATGTTTCTGTAGTCGGCAAGCAGCTCTAAAAGTCTAGTCTTGCCTTGAGGATGATCAATCACCTTAACATGTGGTGATATTGATCTATCCTCTCATGTCAAATTTGTTCAAGTGGAGAAGAAATACTACCAATTGGGAATTGCATAGGCTGTGGTGCAACATTGTTATGATAAACTAGAAAATCACACAAATAACATCCCTCTTTCAATATTCTAAGAGTGCCTGTTCTGTTAAGAACTAGAGCTTCTGTTAAACCACCAGGTCGAATCGTGCTCAATGCTGATTCACACGATAAGCCTTTAACCTTGCATGTTCCGTAAGACATAGTACATCAGTCCCCGTGCACACGTCAGGTAAAACAACAGTGGCTGTGGTGATTTCCTCATTCTGATATTGGAGAGTACCCATTAATACTGCAGGTACAATCTTCCAATTTTTGCTGCTATAATCACGCTGGGAAAGTGAGTCTGCGAGGTCTTGAGCTCGCTTTGACTCGTTATCCACCTTCCTCCTAATGGGCATGGTGGATGACACTTCCAACCTTGCGGAAAGTAACGGTGCAGAATTGTGCATAGCATTGTAGGAAACTCCATTAAATGTAATAGAATTATTACTTGGACGAACATCTATAAAAAAATTTCTAAGAGTTGGTAGACCTATTAACCCATCAGCTGGTAAATTAAATTCCTGTTCTACATAAAAATTTGCATAAAAGGAAATACCACGTCTAGAAAAGCGTAGCGGTAGTTACCATTCCTGCAATATTCAGTTGCGTCCCGGAAACTCCTTCGAAATCGGTGTCAGTAGGTCGAAATGAAATATCTCGGTTAGGGAATCCACTGTAGGTTGTAACTCTCGATAGGATGCCAAAGTTGATACATTTGCGCACGCACCCGTATCAATATCCAGAGACAACTTGATAGACCCAACTATCGCCGGAATTGACAACACTTCCGCTTGGTTGAGCTCCGCTATTAACGAGAATGCCACAGAAGTGTTGTTGGGCGCTGGTCTTCCCCCTAAGTCTTGTGATGATGACAACGCACTGTACGCTGCCGTGTTACCTGGGGTGATCCTGCGTCTATGCTCCGAAATCTTTGCATAGTGATACAGTCATCTGTGTTGTGAGAGTCAGACTAATGGTGCTCACACCACATATCAGCTTTATGTTCTGTCACAGACGTAGTCTTTGCAGCCTCAGCATATGTTTTGGGTGGTTCATGTCTTTGATGTGGGTTGGTGGTTGGATGTCTCTTTTCTTTGTTCTTGACACCACCACGCTGGAGCTGGTAACAAAAGTCCACTGTATGACCTCTTCTTACAATGGGTACATACTAAAATTTGTTTAACTTATGTTACCTAAGTTGTTAGGATCTCGTTGTTGCATTGGTGCTACAGACGTAGTTGTCCTAGCTAGTGGAGTACTAGCTGACTTGAGAGCAATTTTATTTGAGTACCTGTAGTCTATTATCAGATCAGTTGGTGCATACTCATGTTCCTATGCACGACAATATATAGGGTCTCGAACTGTCACAAGAAAACCCACTAGTTCAATCAATTTGGAAACATTCTCTGGAAACATGTTGCCATCATCCTCAAACCACGGTGACACCAAAATTAGCAAGAAGATCCTGACAGACATCACCAGCAATGGCGACACTCTTCATAGGAGTTTCTGCGCGAACCGCACTTGTTCTACGATCTATCCAACTAAACAACCAATGTAATTGTCCTTGCTGTGGCCCAGACTCAAAAATACCAATTAGAGCCTTTTGGAATATTCATACCTCGGGTCAGCAAGACCACTGGCATCCAAATGTTCACTTGAAAAACTACCTTGTTTGATATGAGAGCGAACAAATGCTTTCTTCTCATCATCTCCTGTGATCTGAACATTTTTAATGGTATCCTCACATGCTGTTATAAATGTGGTTACCCGGTATTCATCTTCCCCTGTAAAATCCCAGACCTAATCGCCACGCGGTAACACCTGAATAACGTTAGAAGGGTTAGTAGACATGCCGGTGTTAGAAGTAGCTATGCTATTCAAATTAATCCTAACTTGAGGATCAGTTAAAGGAGGAGGTAATAAAAATTTGTCTGACACATTGTCTTTCTGGGTAGGAGAAAGGAGAACTTGCCTGTAATCAAGCGACGTATTATACTTATTACCTGACCTTAGGGTTCTACGATTTAAATCGTCAACTGAGTGTTCTATCAAATTTCACTACTACTGACAGAAATGTCTAGCTTGGATTGCACCTGTGTTTCATGTGAATCTACTGTAACTATTTGTTCAGTAGTGACATTAATATCATCAGCAGTATCTGAATCGCTGTTATAATGTTCCGCCAAGTCGGCAATGTCCCAAGACGATGACTTAGAAAAACTGTCCATTAATACTTAAATAATCATAAAAAAATATCCTAAAAATACTCTTGCCTTTCATTTACAGTAAATAACTTTACTAGTAAAATGAGTAAAATATCAATAAATGAATAAGAGAAACTTAATACTGACTGTAATTACTTCATTATCTATATATTTATATAAAAGATAAGTAAGACACTTATAAAAAGAATATACAGTGGTCCTCGGTTAACGAACACAATTCGTTCCAGAAGGTCGTTCGTTAACCGAAAATTTTGTTAACCGAATCCATTGTTTCAATGGGATATTGGGTAATTGGTTCCAGCTCACCGAAAAGTACATACAAAGTAAAAAAAAAATGCAGTAAAGTACACTTACTTTGAGGTGTGTATGTAGAAGGTTCCTGGTTGAAGATGATGATGGAAATTAGAAGTGGGGGTGGAGGAGATGGGAGAAGAGAAGGAAGTGGGGATGGAGGAGAAATCACCTTTCAGGGGACCCATGCTTGGTGCCGTCATTTTACCAATAAAATTTTAAGTGTAATTCAAGATTATTTTCTTTAAATCAACACTGCACTGCTCTATATATTATCAATATGTTAACTAAAGTTCAGAATGACCAATAATTTCAAAGAAAAATGCAAAAATATTCAAGGCACCAACAAAATAGATGCTCTCTTCACTGTTTCCAAAATTCAACTGACGCCTTGTGACCGACTCATGCATCTGATGGGCGTACAACAAACTAGTTCCCTGTACTGCATATATTATCAATATGTTAAATAAATGTTAAAATTACTAATAATTTTAATATAAAACATGCAAAAATGTTAAAGAGCACAAATTTATTGATATTTACTCCATTGGAAACGAATGTAAACATAGAAGAGATTACTGAATTGGCAGACTACCCCATCAGCTGATCAGCTGATGCTCACAACAAAACGTGATTTTCGGCTTTACGCGGAGTCCCAGGAACATAACCCCTGCATAAGTTGCGAGTCTACTGTACTTATATCAAGTATGCATTTAAACCTGGTAGATAATAATATTCATGGAGACCCACCATCAATTCTGTATCATATTGTAGAAATTCGTGGTATAATGTTGCCTAGCACTCAGGATGGATGGAAACTCTAAGGTGGTTTTCTTATATAATATAAGTTATATGGTAGACAGTCTGGTGCTGGAGGTGCCGTGTGGTGAGGAGCTGCTCAGTAGAGACGTTCGGTGAGTAGCGTGTTGAAGGAGGTAAATGTGCAGGAGCTTCGTTAGAGAAGATGTTGCCTGTTGCTGGCCTCCTGGTTGAATGAAAACTGGACAGCGAGGAGCTTGCTGGAGGAGGTGTTGCGTGTTCAGGAACCGAGAGCAGAATGAAAGAGCTGGTTGGTGAGGAAGCTCAGAGAAGGACAGCTGGTGGGTCGCCATGCTCGCTGGCGGGAGCGAGGACCGCCAGGCAGCGGCGGAGGAGGAGGTGTTGCTTGTTCAGGAAGAGAGGCCAGAATGAGTCTCAATGGAGAGACAGAGTTTATATACCCAGCAGCCGTGAGTCATCTATGAGTCATGTTGGGAAAACCCGAGAAAGTCGCCGGTCTTTGGTTCCGTTGCTAAGATACTGTGACATCTGGTGACGCCCCCGCCTTGCCGCTCGTTTGGTTGCTAGGGAAGATGGTAGCAGCTGGTGGCTGCGGCTACGCAGTTGTAGGGGAGAAGTCCACTACAATATCATCAGTTTCTTTTCAAATTAGTAGAGTTCTGAGCACCATTCCTTTTCTCCCAGTGGTCCTCAGTGGTGTTGTTTTGCCTTTATTTGCTTTAGATGACATAATAATACACCAAGGAAGCACTAAATAATATAATAAAAAACAATGACCAGTGGTCACAACACAAACATGTGGGAGCTGACTCTTCTCCCAACTGCCACTCCAAAGACAGAGTGTGTCTGACTTATTATGGAGGTTTCCGACTTATAGAAGTCTTACTTAGAGGGGTCTTACTTAATTACCAATAATTGCCATACATTATCAAAACAGATACTCTAATCCAGTATCTTTTTTTTTTCAGATTGGTATAGTACACCATCCTGCTATTTATCCACTTGTCGGAGGTGATCCATATGATCCAAACAGCAATGATGTTGTCACAAGTGCAGACCTACATCTTGTGTCTCACTGCTCTCTTGTTATCATGCAGATCAGAGCCCCCTTGATCAAGGTACTGTACTGTACTATGTACGTATATAACTTTGTTAGAAAGGGACCTTCCAACATTATGGAAAAGAATGATGGAGCAGTACAGTACATCTAGAAGAGAATAGAGGAAAGGATACTGTACTCTCCAATTGGAAGAAATAAATGCCTTACTTAACCCTTTAGAGGGCAGGCATTTTTCTCAGCTGACTAAAATCATATGGTGTTAACCAGAATAAAAATCTTAAGTTCGCCGCTGTTCTTTAAAGAGTTAATACCTGTACAGTATCTTGCCTTTTAGGGAATTTTTTTCAAAATACTGTGTTCACTTTTTCAAACTATTCTAGATGGCTGTCATTACTAAAAATGCTAAATACACAAAGCACCATTTCATCCAAATTTAGTGGTCAGAATTATTTGATTTAAAGTGTAAGTGTTCCTTGGGTTACAGTTACACCCTTTCAAAAATCTGACATGACCATAAACCATCCACAATGACATACTCAGATGAGTGCCTCAAGGCCCATTGGGCCCCTTGTTGTTCACTACATACAGTAAACCCTCGAATATTGACAGTAATATGCCCTCCAATATTGTAGTGTGAGGTGAATCATTAATTACCATTAAAATAAAGCAATAATAATGAGATGCATTCCTAGTGTGACCTTTTCATATCTTTTGTGTGGAATTTTGCTCCCTTTTCCCAAAAAAACAATAAAATTCATGAAAAATTAAAGCTATAATATTTAAATAATGTTTATGAATGCACCTTATACAGTGTAAATCAATAATAATAATAATAATAATATGGTCACAAGAGGAGATTGTACGCCATTGTTGTTGACAGTGTTTACACCCAGGATGGCAGTTCTCCAACTGAAACTGAAGAAAATAAGATACTGGTTGTTGCTGTAGTAAAATTAATGTAAGAAGAATATGTATGTTTTAATTAGTGTTGTTTAATGTACAGTAGCAGTAACCACTGATGGTAAAGAAAAAAGTGAGAGACAGATAGTGGAACGACAACGTATGTATTTGAGCACTCGTGGAAGCCTAGCGTCATTTATCTTATTAAGAATATGTACAAAAGATTCATTATCGTTTATGACTGAATATCTCTTTGATTGAATTAATGTTTATGTATGTGAAATGAACAATGCAGTTATTCATTAATAATACGTAGAATATTAAAACACAAGAGGAGACGAGATGGCATTGTTTTCGTTTGTGTTCATACCCATGACGATGGTTCTACATATGAAATGGAAGAAAATAAGACCCTGGTTATAGCTGTAGTAAAATTAATGTAAAAAAAAATATTTTAATTACAGTAATGTTATTTAACCCCTACACTCCAGTTGACGTTCCGGAACGCTCTCCTTTTCGCGGCATTGTTTGTATGCCCAGCGTGGGTTATTACGTTCCAGTGTGACTATTTGCCTGTGACGCCACACGCTCGGCCACAGGGAAGCTTCCTGAATGTAAGTACAGGTGCTGCTCTACTTACGAACGAGTTATGTTCCTGAGGCTTGTTTGTAAGTCCAACTTTACTCTTGTAGATACCAAACATATTGTAAAAAATGAAAAGATTATGGAGATTTAGTCCAGCTATACCCTTTAATACAACCTTAAAACCTGGCTCACTCTTCTCCTCTAAGGTAAGGTTTGTTCTATCTGGAATTTCCTTCAAAATAATCCAGTCTCATCCACATTAAACACCTGTTCTGGCAGGTAACCCCCCTCAGTGATGATGTTTGTATCTCTGAAAGTTTGTAAGTTGAACATTCTTAAGTAGAGGAGCACCTGTACTGTACCTACTTTTGTTTGTTTAATTTTCATTGTTTGTCCATTTTATCAAGTTGTATCAAAGTAATATTGCTAAAAGTAGTGTAATTGTATTGTAGTATTGTACTGTATTACTGGAAAATAATGCCATGATTATGTTATAAATGTACAGGGTATTTATTTGTGGAATTATTATTCCGATAATCATTTATATTCATTACTTGCTCTACCAAACACAAAGACAGCCAGACAGACTGCCTGTGTGTTGCCGAGCACTTTTTATGAAAAATAATGCAATAAAATATTCTAAATGAATTATTTATGGGAAATAAGTATTATGATCAGTAAATATATGCATTACTGGCCATCCCGGACACAAAGGCAAGAAAAAAATGGCCGGTAAGTGCGTAGTGACCACGAGTGCTGGCCGTCAAAACAACACTGTCCCCTTATGTCCCTCGCCACTGTGGCCCCAGGGAAGTTTCCAGCAGATCAATATATAGTTTTTTTTACTTCTTTTTTATTGTTTTATCATTTAAAAAGGTTAAAAAATATTTTGGGAAAAGTTGAATTTTCTCGATTTACCCCGTTTGGGGGATACGGCCAGCGGCATCCTAGCCTGGGGGCGTAGGGGTTAATGTACAGTAGAAGTAACCACTAATGGATTACGCACCACCACATGAAAACATAGCATTATTTCTCCACATAGGAATATGTTTATGAATGTAAAACAAAAATTATACTCACCAATGGTGGAAAAGTCGAAAACTTATGGACACAGCCAATGTTGTCGTAAATTTGTGAGAAGGTGAGGTAGGGGTAATTTGTTGGTGTGTTTGTGCTCCGATCATATTCTTGTTCAAGTTGCATTAGTTTTTTCATTTGTTAGGTCTTCTCCATGACTGTTTAATAGCTCCTGAACATTCTCTTCATCAATTGAGCAATTTCTTACATTTTTTCTTCACACTTGCAGATAGTTTTCAATGTTGATTCTGCCATCTTCAAAGCGCATGAAATATCAACAGACCTCTCACGTTTTTCATATTGTTTTAACACATCTAGATTCTCGGCTAAGCTTATACACTTTCTTTTAGCTTTTAAACCATCACTTGCTCTCTTGTTCATGTTGAATAGGGGCACAAAAATGCCGTAGGATACCTAAGAAAGTTTTTCTCCTGTTCAGATACGTGAAAACTAAATGCCACTAAAGTGCAACTGTTTATGTTAGTGATGCTGGCATAACCACTCACCTGCCCGGCAGCATTCATGCGCAAGGCGTGTTTTGGTTTTTATATATATGTACTGTATATGCATATTTGTATAATACATATTGGGATTTAGTTATTATTTATATGAAAATGTAATTGATTTAATTTTTCTATTTTCTTCGTAAATACGAATAAAATAAAGGTGTAAATTGAATTGGGTCCTAAATTAACCAGGGTTTTAAATATAAATCGTCGTTATTAGAACCGTCGTTATCGGAGGCTTTCCTGAAACCCCCGCGAAAAGCCAAAACCGCGAATACTCTTTTAGGAATCACTGTACCTGTGGCCACCAAACAGCTCAGGTATGTCATGCACTTAACCACTCCTTGCTCTCCACTCACGGCCCGGTGATCTCACTGAGGCACTGTACAGGCATGTACTAACATCATTATTTGAAACTAATCATATTGTAGTATAATAATGGAAAAACGTAAACCCAGTTATATACAAAAAAAATTTGTTTACAAGCAAATAAAAAAAACATTATTTCGCTGAGGTCAGCAACACCCGCATTGCCAGCCTCTCCCTGCTGTCCCGGCGTCTGCCCGCCCTCACGCAGTCATGCCAGTCAGCCAGTCCTCTTCCACCCACATTCCTCCACTTGAAGACTTGTATTCTGACAAAAGACACAAATGAATTGTCAGTCTTCACCACATCTCGAGTCATAGCTCATACCACCTCTGAGCTTGTCCAATAAAACTGTTATTTCCGTTAAGGTCATCACTATTCTTGATCTCTTGGTCACTTTAGAGTCTTTGCTAGTAATATTTGCCTTTGATGAGGCTGACTTACGTCCCGGAGCCATGTGGAATGCACGTGGGAGGACAAACAGAAGAGGTAATCACAGTAGCATTCGCAGTACGGTAGGCACGTGTGGACTGAGGCTTCTCAGAGCAGCGGATGTCTGAGGCGGGAAAGGGTGGCGTGTGTTTGCCGCACCGCACAGGGGAATATCGAAAATGGCGCGAAATTTAAATTTTTGTTTTTAAAGGCTATTTTATATATATATATATATATATATATATATATATATATATATATATATATATATATATATATATATATATATATATATATATATATATATATATATATATATATATATATATATATATATATATATATATATATATATATATATATATATATATATATATATATATATATATATACACAGTCAGTCCTCGACTTGCGGCGGGGTTAGGGACCGACGACCAGGTCTTAAGTTGAATTGGTCGTAAGTCGAAAATGCAAAAATAATACAGAAAATATAAAATGGGTGTCTGTTTTTCTTCTCAGCACTACAAAAACTCTCATTTTTACACTTGCCAGCCATTTTTAAGGGAAAAAGGGAATTACATATGGAAATTTTGTCAGTACAGTACACAGCGCGATCACTAACGTCAGGACTCGAAAATACGTAATTTGAAAAAAAAATTTTATGACTGCAGCGGTCATATATCTGGGTGGTCGTAAGTTGAGGAGTACCGGTATATATAATTTTTTAATAAAAAAAACACGCGAATGGTCAAAACCGTGATAAAAAAATCGCAGAATTACTGTACAGTACATATATTTTTATTGGTACACATCCAGAAAGTACATACAGTATACAGTGGTCCCTCGGTTAACAAACACAATTCGTTCCACAGAGTCGTTCATTAACCAAATATTTCGTTGACCGAATCTATTATTTCAATGGGATATTGGATAATTGGTTCCAACTCACAGAAAAAGTATACAGTACATACAAAGTACTGTATACCGGTAATAGAATTAACAAAACATTAAATATAAACTAGATACAATACTATACTGTACAGTCTACTGTATAATAATAAATAAAAAACAATAGAATACTATATTTTAACTTACTTTGAGGTATGTATGTCATATTCCCGGCTGCTTTGTTTACATATCAAACAGCTGATTGTAGAGGCAGTCGATGATGACATGCCATATTCTTTACAGA